TGAAGCACGGCGGTGGCAGCATCATGATGAAGCACGGTGTTAAAGCAAACAGCCAAAGCTCCACAGAAATGGTTTGAAGACAACAAGGTGAAGTTCTGGAGGCCCAGTCAGAGTCCAGACCTCCATCCAGCTGAGGATTAGAGTCTGGACCTGAACAGTTCTGTTCCTTCATGATCCCTGTGGAACCCGACAGAGTCTGAACAGTTTTATCAGAATGAGGTGAAGCTGCAGCGTCCAGATGTTCAGGTTGATGGAGACCAGCAGGACCAGAGGTTCATCTACTGATGACTGGAGGAGAACACTGATGGAATCACTGACTTTATGTGAAGTTGACTGACTTTGTAGAAATCTGTTTTATGTTGGAAAAAAAAAAAGGTATTTTTAATGATTTCTTTCTTCTTGAAAAGTCGTAAAGAGGAAAACGCCCCCCGTGAGCCGAAAACAAGAAGTGCTGCCTTCACTTCCCACATCGCTCGCTGTGCCTCTCTGCCCTTATAAGGCAGTCAAACCCTGCAGCCTGACAAACCGCAAAACCCCGGAAACTTCTGCAACTGCAAAAAAAGGAAAAAACTGCAGCCGACGCCTTAAACGCAACCGTCCTGCCGCCAGAGCGCCACAGAACACCGACACAGTCAAACCACTGGTTCGTCTGCCTGGAGGAGAGCTTCTGCCTCCAGAACACGCAGGTCCACAAGATGCCCAACATCATGTCAAGAAGCAGCAGAACAAACCTCCATCAGCACACGGTCTGCTTCTACTCCACCCAACCCCAACCAAAACCACCTAGAACACAAGTTTCTGTTCCTCGTCGTGAAGGAAACATCTCTGTGTTCAGTTACAGAACGACATGAATACACAGAAAACCATCTGAAACACAAACGCTGAGCTCAGTGCTGATGTTTTGGCTCCTTTCAGACATTCATGCTTCAGCAAACTAACAGAAAACGAGCCGTTCCAACAGAAACCAGCCAATCAGGAGCAGCGCCGGCCTGTCGCCGCCCACTTCACGGCAGCTTCGTCCCCGCAGCGCCTCAGCGCCGCCGCAAAACTCAAGACGAACAAAACCTGAAATAAAGAGGCTCGGAAAACGGGGGAGAACCAGCCAATGGGGACGCAGCGCTTCACCTGATGTCGTCATGGCGACGGATGTGCTAAAAAGCTCGTATCTCCAGACGAGTGGAAAACGAGGAACGAACACCAAGTTTCTGAGTTTTGCAGCAGAGTTCTTACCTGCAGGAGGGTGGACAGAAAAACAGAGACGTGTGTGTGTGTGTGTGTGTGTGTGTGTGTGTGCGTGTGTGTGTGTGTGTGTGTGCGTGCTCACCGAGATGCTGGCCAGGCCGCTGGATTTGGCCCAGATGGCCTCCTGCCCTGGTGAGGCCCCACAGATGGCTGCCTCCATGATGGGCGCCATCCCGCTCTGGTCGGGCGTCTTCAGATTGTCAATGTAGTCTTGCCACGACATCCTGATCAACAACACACTGATCAGCAACACACCAGAGAGACCAAAAGCACAAAGGCAAAGACCCAGACAGCAGTGGCCCACCTGTGTGTGTGTGTGTGTGTGTGTGTGTGGGACAGCGTACCTGAGCAGGTAGACTCGTGCTGTGAGGAGGGCAGCAGTCAGCAGTGAAATGCAGCCGGCAGCAGGAAGCGGCGCTTTTATACGCCTCAGCCTGCTGCTGCTGCCACTGACACTGAAGGTCTCTCAGCCGCCTCTCTCACCTGGAAGTCAGAGAGCAGGAAGTACACACACACACACACACACACACACACACACACAGAAGTGCGTCTCTTTGCAGTAGTTTTGTGTCTCAGTCTTTTTTAATCATCACAGTCGTTTATTTACATCTTAGTGTCTGTGTGCGATCATTTTGCATCTTTGTGTTGTTTTGTCTCTTTTTGTGTGTTTTTGTTGTAGTTTGTTGCATCTTTGTGGCTGTTTTGTGTCTTTGTGGCTGTTTTTCAGTCACAAATGTGCTGTAGTTCCTGAGTCTACACTGCATTCCTCAGGTGAACACACACACACACACACACACACACACAACCCTGGGCCAGCTCAGACCTGTGAGAACACCATCGCAGTACTCTGACCTCATTACTGCGTGTACTTGTACTGCAACAGCTTCCAGCATCGGCGAGGAAGAGCTCAGGTGAGAGTCGGCCTTCCAGCAGCAGTACAGAGAGTACAGTTACTAGTAGTAGTAGTAGTAGTGGTAGTGGTACTAGTAGTACTTGAGCCAGGAGCAGGGAGAGTCCAGCAGCAGCAGTATGACCTGCAGCAGCTGGTTCTGGTCGGTGGTACAGTTCTGAGCCTCCCCGTCTCTGTGTGTCGTCTAGCTGGCGGCTCCTTCAGGGTTCTTGCAGCGATGCTTTCATGTACAGCTCCGTACTGGGTGAGGTTCTGGTGCCTCTGGCAGGTCGGACAGGTACAGACAGGTACAGACAGGTACGGCGCTCTGCGCTACACCTGAGCCGCCCATCAGCGGGCGGCGCCATCAGTTCGACCTCGGGGAGATTTGTGAGGAATTTAAAGCATCACTCACAGCGACGGGTTTACACAAGTCAGCATGAGCAGTATGTTCACCCTGAGGACACACACACACACACACACACACACACACACGCCTGCCTTTGAAGTCAGGAAACTCAAACCAAACCTCGCTGACTTTTTGTTCGATTCTCAGTCACTCAGATCAGAACCGAGACAATCTGCCGTCCGGGTCTCTCCATTCACACTCATTCATGTCGACGTGTTCGGACCCACAAGAGCCACGTTAACAAAAGCCTGAAGGCCCTGAATGAGCGCTGAACCTGTGTCTGCATCACGGCTCCACGTGCAAAAGAATCACCACAAACATCTGACTGAGAGACTGGACCCAGTGCAGCCCAGTGTGAGCAGGAACCAGGAGGTCCAGAAGGAGCCACAGCAGCACTGATCAGGGCTGCAGTGGTCGTCCTCCTACAA